GTGTCCCGCGCGGCCCCGCCCGGGGGTTAGACCGCAAAGCCACTCGTAGGTGGCGGCAGCAAAGAGAAAGCGTTCCTGCGCGCGCATGCGCGGCCCGCCATCTTGCGGCGACGGAGCCGCTTCCGGGAGCAAAGGTGGGAAGGAGGCTCCCGCGCCAAATACGAATTCAAGGCTGGAGTGATAGAGTTTGTGGAGCGGGACGTGGTGCTGCCGTGGCCTGTACAGGTGGGATCCCAGCTCTGGTCTGTTCCTTCTGGGACCTGGGTTCAGATCCCAGCCCCCTGGGTTGGACCCTCGTCTCATCTCCCTTCCACACCCCCCGCTTTGGTCCGCTTATCCCCAAACCGCGCCTGCGCTGTTCGCTCTTCTCATCCCCGAGTCCGGTTTTCTCGGTACCCCTTCTATCGCCCCCCGGCTTTTCCTGCTTCCCCATCTCTTGTCCCTCGGAGGGGGACTCCCTGCCCCAGACTCAAGTTCACATTTCCGCTCCTTCCCCGCCCGGGTTGTTCCTTTCCCTCTCCGCTTCCCTCCCCCACACCCAGGTCCGTATCCCACATTTACTTCCACCCACGGTCGTATCCTGGTGACTTTAAACTATCCGACCCTCTGTGGTATCGTGTGTAACCAGTTAAGCAATTACATGGATTTTTCATCCCTAATCTGCAGCCACAGTCCCCATCCCCTTTTCCCAGTTGTGTGTCGTCTCCTCCCCCCATCCTGGCTCCTATAGGGTGGACAGAAGAAAGGGGGGAATGACCCCCAAATGTTTGGAACTTTCTATGCCAGTGGTCAGCAGGTTGCAGTCCCTCAAGAACATCCTGCTGAGGTTCTGGCTGCATTTTTCCCCATACCTCATATACCTGCGCTGGGGTAGTGGAATAAATGGGGCCATGACCACCAAATTTTGCTATGGATCCTGACCAGGATCCTCTCCTCCCTCCTGCCACGCAGCACTTCCTGCCCCTAAGGCTGGCACCTGGAGCCAAGGCAGCTGTAGGGAGCCACAGCTTGACTATGGTAAAAGCTGCATAGTGGTTCTTTCTCCCACTAAGGATGTTAAGGAGTAGTTGACTATCAGATAAGCAAATGGTTATTGGATAGTCAGTCAACTAATTGATTAATCGATTCCCTGCCTCCCTTGCTGCCTCTTTCTGATAGAGGCAGCAAAGAGGGTGGGGGGGAAGAAGGGGTACTTCAAAGTGGCAGCGCCATACAGCTGAGCCGGAGATCAGCTGTGCAGCACTGCTGCTTTGAAACCCTGAGGCAGCATTTCAAAGGGGCAGCCACTACACAGCTGATCCATGGCTCACCTGTGTGGTCTGCCTCTTTAAAACACCGAAGTGCCATAGAGCCTGGGGTCAGCTGTAGACTCCCCAGCTAACCCCGGGTTCCAAGCGGCATTTCTCCACAACCCAGCTGATCCCAGGTTTCACTGAAATGCCTCTGTCCGGTGCCGCACACCTTTGAAATGCTGAGGCAGCATTTTAAAGGGGCAGCGCTGCACAGCTTAGCTGGGGATCAGCTGTACAGCCACTGCCCTTTTCAAATGCCATGTTGGCGTTTCAAAGGGGCAGCTCTGTGGAGCTGGGGTCAGCTGGGGACTCCCCATCTGATCCCAGGCTATGCGCAGCATTTCAGCAGAACCCAGAATCAGCTGGGAACTCCCCAGCTGACCCTGGGTTCTGCATGGCATTTCCCCAGATACCCCAGTTTCAAAGGGGCAATGCCATGGAGCCCGGGGTCAGCTCCGCGTGGCATTCAGCGCAACATGGACCCTGACTCCATGGCTTTGAAATGCACAAGAATCACCACTGGGGATGCAGCTGGAAGTCAGTGGATGCACACGGAATTCTGCATTCCTCCTTTGAAATGTACAAGAGCCCCAGAGGGAATTAGAGTGAGAGTTGTAGTTCATGGTAGGTGATTGCAAAACTCTCTTGTATCTGGAGATCTTGATATGAAGGGCTGGGAAACTGTAGGGCAGGACTGAGGCACATTCACCAAAGTTTATTGGATATATTTGTGTAGAGTCAGATATCTGAAGCAAACCATTAACTCTCATCAACTGTAAATGCGTTTACTTATTATTTTAAGCACTTTATTTGTTCTAATTGAATTAATTCTAATAATGTAAAATATTCATTGTTTGTAGACTTACTGTCTCTAATCTTAAAAGCTGGTTCACAAGTAAAACTGCTAGGTCTGATGTCAGTACCTTTATTGCAACTTCTGCCAAAGCCAATTGAACTCTCTAAGTTTTGTTGGTTTTTGTTTGTTTTATTTTGTTTTTGTTGTTGTTATCAGATTAACAGTGTTTTAGGATGATTTACAAATGTGGAGAAAAATAAGGTTCAGTTAGGAAGGTTTTTACCTTCCATAAGATACAGAAGGTGGAATGGAAGAATTGGGATAACGTTGGGCTAGAAACAAAATTTATTCAGATGGGTCTTTGCAAAGAGCCCCATACAGTTTTCTGCCAGCTGGATCAGCACCTAAGTCATTTGAGTGACAGAAAAAAAAACCTCCAAAAATTATTATGGCACATCTACCTACTTCAGCAACAAATATACTTTGTTTAAGCCATGGAAAGGAAAAATCACTTTCCAAGTTAGAAATTAATATTTTACTATGGCATTAAGAAGCGCTGACTTTTTTTTTCATTTTGTAAATTGTCTTAGCCACAATTTTGTAGTCAGCTACTTTTTCATGTGTATGCAATTAGAAATATTTTGACACATTTATGCTCCCTTTTAATACTGGTGTGCTATGTCATCATGGTACTAATAAATCAATTGGCACAAAGGTTATAGGAAATATAAGAAACATAGACTGATTTATAGGCACCAAATGGTAACATCAAAAGGCCTTTTTGTTAAGCGTTGTCTTGTTCACTTCCCAGAAAAGCTGAAAGTCCCAGTTACGAGATAAGAAGGTTCATTTTCTCCCTACAGAATGTTCTATTCAAGGATTTCTTTTAAAGGTAGCAGTTGAAAATAGTAATATTATGGTGGCAAAAAATAAGAATATTTTTGTGTAGTATTAAAACATCTTTATTCTGAGTAAGTATGTACTGTTGAAGCTACTACTTAGCAAATGGTTGCCTCTAAGACCATATCTACACAGCAACTAGACACTCACAACTGCCCCATGCCAGCCATTCAGTCTCGGGCTGCAGGATTCTTTCATTGCTGTGTAGACTTCTGGGCTTGAGCTGGAGTCTGGGTGCCAGGACCTTGCAAGTTGGGAGGGTCCCAGAGCTTGGGTTCCAGCCCAGCCTTGAAGTCTACAATAAACCTGCCCTGCAGTTCCAGTTGCTGGCTCAGCTGTGTTCACCAGGGATGTCTGAGTGTAAAGAACTAACCATTTTACCAGTAAAACAGATGCTTATCAGTTAAGTGTCGGTTAGACTCAGAGAAGCCTTGGCTCAGGGAACCAAGACACAGCAAAGCCTTGGCCTGCCTGGGAGCAGAGATGTTGCTGTAGGCTCTGCAGTATAAACCTGCGGTTTATACTGCAGAGCTGGCAGTGTGGGTAACTATGTAACCACTGAGATTTTCAGTGGTACATGGCTTCCCTATGATTTTTAACATCCCTAAGTGCTTTCTCAAGTGGCAAAATATATCAGCTTCCCTTTTCTATCCTTGTTTTTGTTGTTCACAACATCAGGTTTTTTTAAAGTATAAGAAGGGACGAGGAACCTTTTTTGAGTTGGGGGCTATTGACCCACAGAAAAATAAGTCGGGGGCTGCATGTAAGTGAAAAGCAAAAAAAACCCCAAATCCTTATTGACGTGGATCCCAAATAAGGAGAGAGACACTTCCCACATTCCCCTTGCACACCAGAGCCTTCGGGGACCCAGACTAGTAGATTGTGTGTGCTCCAGTGCCCAAGTCTGATTTATAGGCACCAAATGGTAACATCAAAAGGCCTTTTTGTTAAGCGTTGTCTTGTTCACTTCCCAGAAAAGCTGAAAGTCCCAGTTACGAGATAAGAAGGTTCATTTTCTCCCTACAGAATGTTCTATTCAAGGATTTCTTTTAAAGGTAGCAGTTGAAAATAGTAATATTATGGTGGCAAAAAATAAGAATATTTTTGTGTAGTATTAAAACATCTTTATTCTGAGTAAGTATGTACTGTTGAAGCTACTACTTAGCAAATGGTTGCCTCTAAGACCATATCTACACAGCAACTAGACACTCACAACTGCCCCATGCCAGCCATTCAGTCTCGGGCTGCAGGATTCTTTCATTGCTGTGTAGACTTCTGGGCTTGAGCTGGAGTCTGGGTGCCAGGACCTTGCAAGTTGGGAGGGTCCCAGAGCTTGGGTTCCAGCCCAGCCTTGAAGTCTACAATAAACCTGCCCTGCAGTTCCAGTTGCTGGCTCAGCTGTGTTCACCAGGGATGTCTGAGTGTAAAGAACTAACCATTTTACCAGTAAAACAGATGCTTATCAGTTAAGTGTCGGTTAGACTCAGAGAAGCCTTGGCTCAGGGAACCAAGACACAGCAAAGCCTTGGCCTGCCTGGGAGCAGAGATGTTGCTGTAGGCTCTGCAGTATAAACCTGCGGTTTATACTGCAGAGCTGGCAGTGTGGGTAACTATGTAACCACTGAGATTTTCAGTGGTACATGGCTTCCCTATGATTTTTAACATCCCTAAGTGCTTTCTCAAGTGGCAAAATATATCAGCTTCCCTTTTCTATCCTTGTTTTTGTTGTTCACAACATCAGGTTTTTTTAAAGTATAAGAAGGGACGAGGAACCTTTTTTGAGTTGGGGGCTATTGACCCACAGAAAAATAAGTCGGGGGCTGCATGTAAGTGAAAAGCAAAAAAAACCCCAAATCCTTATTGACGTGGATCCCAAATAAGGAGAGAGACACTTCCCACATTCCCCTTGCACACCAGAGCCTTCGGGGACCCAGACTAGTAGATTGTGTGTGCTCCAGTGCCCAAGTCTCGGGGGCCAGATCCAGACAAGCTGTGGGCTGCATGTGGTCCCTGGGCCTAACGTTCCCCTTCCTGGTATAAGAGGTAGCACAACATTTTTTTTCCAGATTTGCACTCAGATGGGCCACTTCTTTCTGTGCCCATTTTGGTATACAAAACTGCAGAAGAGTGCCAATTTATTTAACTTATGTCTCCTGAAATTCTGAAGTCCTTGTTAAAATTGTTGCTGAGGGGGATAGTTTTCTTGCCAGATGTAGTACTACAATTTAGCAGGCAAGTACTTTTTCTCTTGTTAAATTTGCCTGTTTGATAAATTATATTGGCTCCCACTGCAAAGCAACTGGGTACCTTCCTATTTATGAAAAGAAACAGCAGCTCTTTGAGTTCAAAAGTGGGTAGAAAAAACCTTTGCTTAAGAGCAAACAAGGTAGCATTTTTAAGCTTGAGTACTTAAAAGTAGGAGTCTAATTAAGTAACATGATGGGAGATGCAGGGGACAAAGTGGGTTTAATCATCCAGAACACTCAGTGATTTCACCAAAAACCTGCTTCAGTTCAAAGGAAAATGAGAACTCTACACTTCTGAAAATCAAGCCACTGATTAGAGTGAATTCATACAGATCTAGGTACTGCAAATTCCAGAGCTATGGACCATCTACTGGAAGAATGTGACCCTTTTAATTAGAACAATTTAGAATAGATGCAATGAAAGCAAAAAAATGACTGAACAGTTCACTGAATCCTGAATATGGGCTTTTATATTCATGTGTCAGTGTTGCATTAGCACGGTTTCTGATATGCTTTTTCTGTGAATGCCATGTGTTCAAGAGACCACTAGATGGCAGCATTCTTCATTTGTATCCAAACTTCTGCACAATTGTCTTCCTAGTTAATTGGATTTTGAGGTAGAGCTGTGGTTCTCAAACTTTGGCCCATGGTCCACCTGGCTTCATGCAAAACTTTCAGTGGACTATCAGTTGCTAATGGAAATTCACTGTTAATAACATAATTATGCCTGAGCCATTTTGCTAGTGCGGCAGCTAGGGAGAACAGTTTAATTTAATCAGTAAGAAAGAATGAATTAATTTAAATTATTAAACAGATTAAGTGCTTAAACAAACATGAGGAAGTTAATCAAACTTTATTTTAAATAAAGTAAAATATTAATTTATGCTCAATGGAAAAGGTTCCCATGTTTTCTTTCTTTATCGCAGGGGTGGGCAGCTCTTTTTGGATCAGGGGCCACTGACCCACAGAAAAATCAGTTGGGGATCGCACAAGTGAGAATTTTTTTTAAAAACCCTCTCCTCTCACTGATGTGGCCCTCAACTGAGACACTTCACTCCTCTGGTGCTCCAGCCCCACCAGGGGAGAGTGAGAGACAGGGAGAACTGAGGCTCTGGGCTCCATGAAGGCCAGATTTACTCTTCTGGGGTTCCAGGGTTAGTGGATTTTGTGGAACCCCCTAGGTTCTGGGGTTGGGACAAAAATGAGGGGTTCCGTGTGCAGAACTGGGCTGCCAGCAAGAGGAATGGGGGTGCAGGATGTGGGCAGGAGGTGGGGTGCAGGAGGGAGTGAGGTCCGGTTGGGAGGTAGGGTGAAGGAGCAGGCTGTGAGTAGGATGTATGGACAAGGGGTTGGGTGCAGAAGCAAGGGTGGGTGCAGGAGCAGGCTGGGAGTAGGGTGTCTGTCCATGGGGGAGCGTGCAGGAGCAGGCTGGGAGTGTGAGGTCTTGGCAGAGGAGGGTGCATGAGGGGCCTGAGAGTGCAGGGCTCTGGGCATGAGGAGGTAGGGAGGCACTTGTCTTTGCCTCCCATGCTGTTCCCAGGCGTAGCCTCCTGCTGCTCCCATTGGCTAGATGCTAGCCAATAGGAGCAGTGGGAAAGCCTCCAGGCAGTACACCTGCATGCTGCTGTTGCCTCAGCCGGGGAGGGGGGGAAAGGGAGCACTTCCTCCCTATGAGCCAGATCACGCAGCAAGGCTCGGGGTTTTCTCTCCCCACCCCCACCACTCCTGCCCCAGTGGGAAGCCAGCGATGTCGCTTCAACCATATGGGGGAGGGAGAGGGAAGCTGGAGCACCAGTGTGGATTCCCAGCTGTGGGGGTGAAGGGGAGGTCTGAGCTTGAGCTGTGGACCACCTGGAAGGACCGCAGTTTGAGAATTACTGACCAACAGGGACACATTTTGCTCTCATAAGTAGTGCAAAATTCTAAGCATAAGCAAATTTTTTATTGTAACAGTATAACCTGATTGCTGTGTCATTTCGACAAGAGATGTTTTTTATTTTGGAAGTAAAATAAACATTGATAAACAATTACCAAAAGTAATTTTAAAATATCATTTCTATTTAAGTCTTTTTCATATTGAAATGGAGAAATAAGCATAAGGAAAATGTATTCCTTCTTCTCCCAGAAGGAATAGATTTGCCTTGAGGTGTAGAAATAGACATGAGAAAAAGGCTGATATTTTAAGAATGGCAAAGGGTGAAAGAGAGAACAACACTGGAAAGGAATCTCAGTCAGGGCTGAAGATAGGAAATAAGAGGAGAAAGAGGGAAGAAAAGGAAATCTGATAACCTTTCCCCTAAGGATGGTACATTTACATTAATCAGCTAATCAAATAGTCAATGTAATTTCTTTGCATCGACTATTTGATTAATCAATAAGGGCGCCTCTTCCCCCCCTTCCACCGCAGCTCTTGTACATTTCAAAAGCAGGGAGTGTGGGGCCAGCGGGGGTCTCAGAGTGTGTCTACACTTCAGGATTTTGTCAACAAAAGCGGACTTTCGTCGACAAAACTATACCTGCGTCTACACTACTGCCGTGTTCTGTCGACAGAATGCGGCAGTTTTGTCGACAGTGGTAAACCTCATTCTATGAGGAATAATGCCTTTTTTCAACAGAGTTATGTTGGAAAAAAGGTGCTATTGCATCCGCACTGTGCTTTTTCAAAAGAGAGCATCTAGACTGTCTGTTGAAAAAGTGGCTTGCTTTGTTGACAGAACTGGCTGTACAGGGTTTTGTCGACAGTATCTGCCTCTATCGACAAAAGCCTGTAGTCTAGACGCACCCTCAAACAGTCTCCTGTGGCTCTTGTACATTTCAAAAGCAGGTTGTGTGGGGCCAACAGGAGACTGTTTTGAGTCCCCAGCTTGCCACAGGCTTCCCGCAGCACTTCTGCTTTTGAAATGTAGCAAGAGCAGAGCTCTTAAATTTCAAAGGCGGAAGCCCCGCCAGTTCCCCACTGTGCCCCTGCCCCTTCTCCCCATGGAGACAGTGCTGGGGGGAACTGGCTTTTAAGCCAGCTTCCTCCAGCACTGGATCCTGCTCCCCGCCCCTACTGCCTTTCTATGATAGAGGCAGCAAGGGGAGGGGGAAAGTGACTAGTCAAGTCACTAGAAGGGATGTGAAGAACTAGTTGACTATCCAATAAGCAAATGCTTATCGGATAGTCGACAGGATAGTCGACTAGTTGCTTCTCCCCCCCACCCCTTTCTGCCTCTATCAGATACAAGCAGCAAGGTATGGGGGGAGAAAAAGGGGCTACTTCAAAGTGGCAGCACCGCAAAGAGCCCGGGGTCAGCGAGGGAGTCCCCAGCTGACTCCGGGCTTTGGCGCTTTCAACTTTGAAGTACAGCAGAAGCCCTAGGGCTGCTGCTGTACTTCAAAGATAAAGATGTCCTATCGACTAATCAAATAGTCGATGCAAAAATGCATCGACCATTTGATTACTCAGTTACCCAATACTTACCATCCTTAGTCACTAGCTAACTATCCGATTTGTTTATTGGATAGTCGCTTACATCCCTACCTTACCCCATTCCTTCCTGTTGATAAAAGGAAGAATTTAAAGTCATAAGCGGAGACCGAGGGAATGTATCCCACTCAATATATTCAGCTGGTATAAATGACCATTGCTATATTATGTCCTAGTGTCTTTCTGATTATAGACAAAAAACACTACTTTCTGTAAGAGTCATTCATAAATGGAAATAGGAGCTTCAGGAAGTAAAAAATGAGCATGAACTGCAGTTTCCCCCTCACTTATGGAATAGACAGACACAATATCATGCATCTGCGTTCTTGTAGCTGAACCATTCTGTTTAGGCAGCACTGTAGCCTGTTTATAATAAAAGTCCTACAAGGAGCTCATCCATTAAACAAGGGGTCTATAAACTGAAGTCTTTAAATATTTAGATGGCTTGATTATGTCATTCACTTATTCATTAACATTTATTTTTAGAAATACTTAGAGCACTTATCCTCTTCCCCCCATTGTCACATTCTATATTTTGAGCTGTAAAACTTTGTGTTGTTTAGTCTTTACAGCTGATGCCCTCATGTTGGCAAGAAGGAATTCAGAACAATGGGAGTGACTAATCTATGGCAGATCCTGGAGCCTGTGAAAGAATACGTTCATCTGAGCACTCTCAGGGGAAAAACCCTTGCTGTTGATCTAAGCGTATGGGTGTGTGAAGCACAGTCTGTTAAAAAGATGATTGGACTAGTCAGGAAGCCTCATCTTAGGTACTTTTTTTTTTGTAACCAATAGGTGTTTGAATCTGTAAGATTATAGTTTGCTCATTTGGTGCTTTGTTCCCAGGGTTTATGCCAAGGTATTTGTGGTAGACCATATTATCGTATAGTTTTAACTGTTTATTTGAGGTATGCTGATCATTTTGCATGAGCTATAATAAATGCCTTGAGAAGTATTTACATATTTGGTTGACATTATTCTGGTGCTTTTTCAAAGAACAAACTAATCAAATATCAGAGGGGTAACTGTTTTAGTTTGTATGTAGAAAAACGAGGAGTCCTGTGGCTCCTTCAAGGCTAACAGATTTGGGTGGGTTTTTGCCTACGAAAGCTTGCACCCAAATCAATCTGTTAATTAATCAAAGTGACTAACTCCCAAGTACTGACTTGTGCAACCAGGACTGAAAAAAAGGACATGTGGAGCTATAGACTACTAGAATTTTACTTTTAAAAGTAACCCGTGGGATGTGAAAAGTTACCCAGCTAACTTTTGCATCGCTGTAAACTGGTAATGCTTAATGATTCCAGACCTGCAGGGCTTACTGCAGGCAGGGGCTGCTCTGTCCATGGTAGCTCCCCCCCTCCCCCGCGGCTACAGGCTGGCTCCCTGGCAGCAGCTTCACTAGGGCAGAGAAGTCTCCTCCATAGGAGCAGGACCAGCAGTTCTTGCTGGCTCCACTCCTAAGGAGGTGGCTTCGCTGCAACAGAGTAGCCTCCTTCCCAGGAGCGGAGCCAGTAGGACTCCCTGGGAGGATTCGCTGTGGGTTCTGCAGAAAGCTTCGTTAAGCTTTCTACTGTAGAGATCACAGCATGTGTAACCACTAAGATTTTCACCGGTTACACGGTTACATTTTTAACTGACTTTTTACATCTCTGGTGACTTTTAAATCTCTCTGATTTTGTGTGCATAACTCAAGAGCTTTATGGATGATTTTCTGAAATGGTAAGAATCCATAGCTCCAATTGACTTTACTTGGAATTCTGGATACACATTTTCTGATAGCACCTGAAACATCTCATACAAAGGACCCAATATAGCTGACCACTTTCAAAAATATAGCCTTAGCTGATCAGCAGTTAATGCTAGCATTGTTGAGTCAAATCTTAATTACTAATCATGTTAGTAACAGAAAGCTATTACTCTGTGTCAGTGGGGTGGAAATATCAGTCAGTTTTCTAAAGGATATGCCTACATGCCACATATCACCTTAACTGGCACCCTTCTAAGAACTTTCAGCAGAGTAATTAAAGGCTGCCTGAGTCTGAAAAATAAATTATTTCACCAGTGTTGACAAGCTTTCATGGGAATAGGACTGAAATACATTTTTAAACCATTTTAGGGATACTTTGCACCAATATTTGTTCTATACTTAAATGGAGGGCTTCTATCTCTAGAAATGCCAGTTCCTCACCCTGTTTGGGCAATATATTAAATACTTTAAAGGGGTAATTTTTTCAGATTAATCTAACACACTTGAATATTGATTCCACTGCTTTTGAGTGTCTAATCAATAGATTATAGTAAAAATGTATGCTTGTTGTGCCTGCTCAGTACAACTGTCATATGCAAAATAATAGTTCTAAAAGATGTAAAATTCTTCTTGTCCACGAGAAAAAAATGTCAGTAAGTTTAAAACACAGTATTTCTTATGTATGAGTTTTGTACCACCCTGATCATCTTAGCATTTAAGATATTCTCAATATTTTAACATTTAATTTAACAGAATGTCCATTTCCCTCCATCTAATACCCTTTTATCAGCATTATTGAGGTCATGTAAGGTCAGATCTTGTGCATGAGCTGGTAAATTTCAAGCCAGTTTTTGGAAGACTGAACAAAAATGAATTCCTAGAATGCAGAATTCATGAAAAAGTATTAAAATTCTTCTCAGTAATAAGTCAATAGCAAAATGAACCTCTTTCTGTTTATACCCATACAAAGCCTTGCAATCCAAAGTGTTTGAAATGTTTTCTGATATGTTTATGTATGTTTTCCAAATGGCAGCTATAGAATCTGTAGTAAAAACTAAGTGTGCTTCTTCCCCCTTGCATTGCTTAAGCTTGAAACAGCACGTATCATTTAGCTGATTGCGCATGTTTTAGAAGCTGTAGTAAAAAGACGAACTAGCTGTTCAGACCCATTTCTCAAAAACTAGGTTGCATGTACTATATGAGTCAGGGAAATTTGTTAATTGCTTAAGTAAGCTATACTGGTGGTCGTTACTGAGTGGAATAAAGTTGAAGTATGCTAACCAATTACACTGCAACACGAAGCTAAGCTAACAAATCAAGACATACCAAGTTAGATAAGAAAGTCCAAGAAAGTTATAAAAAAGGATGCTTAGCCAACGCCCAGGGTCGGCTTTGCTTTGAACACTGAGCTTCTTAGCCGAACCTTGCTTGCAAGCAATAAAATTGAGTTGGACCCAGCCTGAAAGTGTGACTCTCTTCTGTGGGCAAATTAGACTAGCCTCCAGGGGACAAACCTTGCAATTTATGCAACAAATCTTTTTGGGTGGGTGGAGGAGCATTGGGGTAGAACTGTAATCTGCATGTCTCTAAGGTGCTTCTTTTGCTGTTTTTGTTTCCTGGTTTGAAACTAAGTTTCATTACGTAGTTCTGACCAACTTGAAATTTCCATTTAGATTACATGCATTAGTTGTCATGGAGCTTAATTTATAACTAAGCTTTTCAGTGACCATGTTTATTTACTTTTTTAATACAGAAATCTATTTTTTCGACTCTCTTTTTTAACCTCAATGGAAATCAAACTAGTGTTTGTGATGGAAGGGGATGCCCCAAAACTGAAAGCAGACACAATGAGTAAGAGGAATGAGCTCCGCTATGGGTCTTCAAAAAAACCTAGGTCTACAAAAACAGGGAGATCCTATTTTAAATCAGTTTTAAAAGAGGTGAGTGACAGACACATTTCATTAATTTTGGTATTAGAGAATGGAGAGAAGAAAAAAATAGGAAAAGAAAGAATGTACAATAAATCTGACACACATGCAAAATCTATATAGAGTAATTTCTGAGAATTTGTCCTCCCAAAATTTGCATCTTTTTACATTTGAATATTAGTTTTAAAATTTGCTGTAATAAGACTTTATTAACTCTTTTGTGAAGTTTACATAAACTTCTTTGGACAACATGTTCCCATATGTACTCCATAGCGCTGAACACAATGATGGCAGTCAAATGCAGAATTATGATTTGAATTAGTACATGTAAAATCATTATGCACACTCGAGTCTATATACAGTTGATAGTCTCCTCAATACATTTCTATTAAATCCCGAAGTATGGATATTGACAACGAATACTAAGTGAATATAATACATGTTAATAGTTCTAGATTGACATTGCTGGAGATTATTCTCCAGTTATGCATACAATAGGCATTACATAGGTAGTATTGGTGCAAGCTCTCTTCACTATTCCTTTCATGTGCCTTAAACCTGACCTGAAGTAATCACTTCCGGTTACTCTATTCCATTCCTTGATCCCTTTGTTGGTGGTGGTGAAAAGGTAGACTATTTTCTTGGTGATTTTGGCATCAAGACACCCATTTGAAAGTAGACTTGAAATTCCAGCACTGCTTCTAACAGCTGTTGCATGACAGGTCTCTCTGGTCATTATTGATCTGTGCTAGATTCTGATCAATGATTATGAGATAAAAGGCTCTGTATATCATTACCAATCTCTCAAGCCATCTAATTCCTCCTAAGCCTTTTTGTTTTTAAATTTTTTAGTATCTACCTAATAAACATATTAGTATTATGTATACCTGTGCATATATTTCTAAAGCATCCAGCACACTTTTACTCACTATCTAAATAACATAGTAGACTTTTTTCCTAGTCTAGGTCTACTAACCAAGCAAATAATAATGTTAACTCAGTTAGCTGTGAAAATGTTTGGTCAGAATTTCAAGTCTACTTTCAAATGAGTTTCTGGATGCCAAAATTTACCAAGCTCTGCCTGCTAACCTTGCCTGCAGGCACTGCCCCCAAAGCTCCTATTGGTTGGGAATGCTTGATAAAGAATGCAGTTGTATCTTAGGGTTTGGCTGAACAATAGATCGTGTGATGTTTCCTGGAGGGAAGCTGGAGGCATATAGGTAAGTTATAATGGTCAGTCAATTTATAGAATAGGGAGATGACCATCACTTATTTGCACTGCAGTGTCCAGGAAGTGGATCTCTTATGTGGACTGTTCCAGGCTGAATTTGAAGAAGTGGTGGGGGGAATTATTGAAATTCCAGTGGAATTCTTCAAAGGTCTCTTTCCCATGGTTCCAGATGATGCAGATATCAGCATTTAAGGATGAGAGCTGAAGACACATTGTTCTAAGTTGGCCATAAAAATGTTGGCATACTGTATAGCCATGTGGGTGCCCAGAAGCCTCCTAAGTAATGTATGCCAATCCTCCGGCCTCTTTCCTTCAAACATCTGATGAGTATATTTGATCTGTGAAGTGTTTTGACAGGAATGAACACTAATCACTCAGGGTATGTTTAGTACTGTGTAACTGAACATAACTACTTACTATAAATTATAAGTTATTTCAGTCATAGATCTATTCTTTGCCATATTACATGTATTGCAAAGTGATATGGTACAATGATGATATTATGTAATAATAATTAATAATAGCCTCTGCAGACATAAGCCTGATCCTGAGGATCATTTAGAAAAAAATGTGTGTAATCATAAAAAGGGATGATTGAATATTTTTGTTTCTTTAGTGCCTTGAAATGTTGGAGTGTTTAAGGCTGGGGAAAATCCAAGGACCCAAGCCCCTGATACCTCAGGGCTCTTATTGGCCCAGAGGCAAGAAAAATATGCTAATGAACTTAGGGGTTGAGTGCAGCTTCTTAGGGGCTGTGTGCAGTGGTTTTGGTGCTGAGTGCACCTCTTTTGGTGCTGAGTGCACCAGATAGTAACGGATGCACAGCCTGCTTGAGAGGGGTGCACAAGGTAGTGCCGTGTGCAAATCAACAGGTTAGCGGGAAAAACCTCCATCATGTAGAGAAAAGAAACTGTCTCTTTCAAAATGGAGCCCACTAAACTAAACTATAATACAGCCCCCCTTTTCTAGGGTAACATAGGGTTTGGCTGAACAATAGATCGTGTGATGTTTCCTGGAGGGAAGCTGGAGGCATATAGGTAAGTTATAATGGTCAGTCAATTTATAGAATAGGGAGATGACCATCACTTATTTGCACTGCAGTGTCCAGGAAGTGGATCTCTTATGTGGACTGTTCCAGGCTGAATTTGAAGAAGTGGTGGGGGGAATTATTGAAATTCCAGTGGAATTCTTCAAAGGTCTCTTTCCCATGGTTCCAGATGATGCAGATATCAGCATTTAAGGATGAGAGCTGAAGACACATTGTTCTAAGTTGGCCATAAAAATGTTGGCATACTGTATAGCCATGTGGGTGCCCAGAAGCCTCCTAAGTAATGTATGCCAATCCTCCGGCCTCTTTCCTTCAAACATCTGATGAGTATATTTGATCTGTGAAGTGTTTTGACAGGAATGAACACTAATCACTCAGGGTATGTTTAGTACTGTGTAACTGAACATAACTACTTACTATAAATTATAAGTTATTTCAGTCATAGATCTATTCTTTGCCATATTACATGTATTGCAAAGTGATATGGTACAATGATGATATTATGTAATAATAATTAATAATAGCCTCTGCAGACATAAGCCTGATCCTGAGGATCATTTAGAAAAAAATGTGTGTAATCATAAAAAGGGATGATTGAATATTTTTGTTTCTTTAGTGCCTTGAAATGTTGGAGTGTTTAGGATTACCTTGGGTTCAAGCAGCTGGTGAAGCAGAAGCAATGTGTGCTTACCTGAATGCAAATGGATATGTGGATGGCTGTATCACCAGTGATGGAGATGTTTTCTTGTATGGAGCTCAAACGGTTTATAGGAATTTCACCATGAATGCAAAGGTAGAGTGTTAGATTTTTGGAATCATTTCCTTCTGACTTCTTCACTTTTTTCTTATACTGTTCAAATAAATGTGAAGCACCGTAAAGATTTTGAACAATGAACTAGGTATCTGTTAGGGCTTCTCCTTTGTCCCTCCCTTGGTTCTTATCAGACAGACCAAAAACAGAAGACCAGTGTCCAAAGTGCAGATAATTTGATGTTTATTAGGGTTAATCAAGCAAACTTATCCATAGCTCCATGTGTCACAGAGCTTTTCTCCATCCCTTTTCCCATCTTCTTTGTGGGCTTAAATATATCTGTAATGCATACCTCTTGTCCCACCCCTTACTGTGGGATTGTGAGGGAGTCAAGTCATGTTTTGGTAGGGTCATGGTTTCTTTGGCTTTTTAGTGTTTCTTGTGCCTCCCCCTACATCTTCCTTTACCCTTTCCAACAGGTGGTTTGAGCTTGCCTAGAAATAGGAATTGAGGCAGATAAATATGAAATACACACCAAAAACACTTTAACTCTCTTCCTTTCGTGGCTGATTGTGCTGTACACAACATCTGGTTGTGGGCAAATGCAACATCTGTCTTCTGTTCATAAAAATTAGTAAAAATATCAGTCAAACATGCAAACAAAACCAAAATTTTATCTCAGGTAAATATAAAGGCCTAAGTACTATATTAACATAACTAACAGTTTCATTCGTTTATCTTCCTTTATTTAATCTTGCTTAAAATCTCTGTTTTTATACAGCAAACTTGCTTCACTTGATTCATTAGTTTTCAAGCACTGAATGAATAAAGAAAACAGCCGAGTTGAATAACAAACATGAAATTCACTAAAAACTTTAAAAAACAACAATGGCCTTGTAGCACCTTAAGGCATGTCTATATTGTATTCCTTTCGAGAGAGGAATGCAAATGCAGATGAACGAAATTGCAAATGAAGCGTGGATTCGAATTTGCATAATCGCGTCTGGGCGCTGTTTTGAAAAACCCTATTTTGAAAAAAGAAACGCTGTGTAGACGCGGTTATTTCAAAAGAAACCCTTCTTTTGAAATAACCCTTAAGACTCATTTTATAAGGAGTAAGGGTTATTTCGAAAGAAGGGTTTTCTTTTGAAATAACCGTGTCAACACAGCGTTTCTTTTTTCAAAATATGGTATTTCAAAACAGCACCCGGACACAATTATGCAAATGAAGCATGGGAAATTCAAATCTGCAATTCATTTGCAATTTCGTTCGTCTACATTTGCATTTCTGTCTCGAAAGAGGAATGCAATATAGACATACCCTTAGAGAGTAACAAATATATATAAAAAGTATCATGAGTTTTCATGAGCCCAATCCACTTCTTAGATGACAAAACCTGTTTGGGTTTTCTAATACCTTAATTCATATTCGACTAAAAGCTGAAAATTTTCTACTGGACACAGCCCTGCAATTACAATTATAGGAGCCTCATGTCTTTAGGATTAAATAAGTGCAAATTCTCTTACTTGCATCTTACACATACATCTTAATGTCAACACTCATACTTTATAATAGGGATATAAACCAGCATCCAGACCCAGACCCCTTGCTGGGACTGGGAGCTGGAAGCCAGCCCCAACCGTGAAGTGTTAGCTGGGAGCCCCACGATCTGGGATGCTGGAGGGGTGAGATCCCACTCATTCAGTTAACTGGTTAAATGTTAGGGCAACCAATTAACAAGGATTTTACATTCCTACTTGATAATGACTGCTGCTTCTCAAATGTCTTGTACGTCTGAATAATAAGTTATGGTATGACCAGTCCAAAAATGAATGCATCTAAGATGACAGACGACTTGGTTAAAATTATGGATACATTAGTTGATACCACAGTGGAGAAAACAGAACAAATAATTATCTTGCACACCCTGCTGCAGTATACACAGATATTTCTTTTATGATGCATCTAGTAGGGATGTGAACATGTACCCATATGCTCAGAGACCCCTTCCCTTATCATGCTGCTGCCTCTGTATCAGAGGCAGCAGCCCAGGGGGAGTGAGGTGGGAGCCGGTATGTGCAGGGAACCAACTTTCAGGCCAGCTCTCTGTGCATACCTGCTGCTGTGAAGCTGCCTGCTGTTCCCTCTTCCACCTGCTGATGCAGAGGCAGCAATTCAATGGAGAGGCAGGTCCCCCATGGGTAAACATGTAAACTCTGAAAATTTCAGTGGTAACATGTTTACCTCAAATGCATTTTAACATCCCTAATGTTTAGGGCATCAAGCCAGTGGGGTTGCAAATGGAGTGAAGACTGTAAGGGTATGTCTACACTAGCTCGTTAATATCCCGGGCTTTATTTGCAACTCTGGTCGCCTCATTTGCCTACCTAGCTCAAATTAACAAGCTAGTGTAGACATATCCTAAGTTATTTTTAAGTTCAGATCCTTTGATAGATGTCAACCCTGACCTTTTATTGATTTTTCCTTTTCAGCTTTACACTTTTTTCTATAAGCCTAGGAGGTTTCTAACATTTCTAATCCTTGATTGACTATGTTACTTTAAAAGCAGTTACATCTATATGTAGATTTTGAAAGCTGCAATTCTTAAAATCATGTGGTCAGTCTTCAATACAGGATAATATTTATATTAGTCATGTTTTGTGCGACAAGGACAAATGGTTTCTAAACAACAGTAGGACCCATTACTATTAACCTGTGTCACCAACAAATCAATTTGCTAGTTGCCTGTGGTTCTGCCTACACTATTAAGAGCTGTAATATTTTCTTGCAGGACCCACATGTTGACTGCTACACAATGTCCTCTGTTAAGGAGAAGCTAGGATGTGACAGAGAGTCCCTGATTGGGCTAGCTATTCTTCTCGGTTGTGACTATCTTCCTAAGGTGAGTAAGCAGCTAACTAATTATTTATCATGTTCCAGTCACTTATTTTTCATAAACAGACATAGAACTTTAGGGTTGGAAGAGACCTAAGGTCATCAAGTCCAACCCCCTGCTAAAAGCAGGACCAATCCCAATTAAATCATCCAAGCCAGGGCTTTGTCAAGTCAGGACTTCAAAACTTTTCGGGGTAGAGATTTCACCACCTCTCTAGGTACCCATTCCAGTGCTTCACCACCCTCCTGGTGAAATAGTTTTTCCTAATATTCAACTGAGACCTCCCTCACTGTAACCTGAGACCATTGCTCCTCATTTTATCATCTGTCACTACTGAGAACAGCCTGTCTCAATCTTCTTTGTACCCTGCTCCCCCTTCAGGAAGTTGAAGGCTGCTATCAAATCCCTCCTCACTTTTCTGTAGACTAAATAAGTCCAAATACCTAAGCCTTGCCTCGCAAGTCATGTGCTCCAGCCCCATAATTTTTTTTTACCCTCCACTAGACTCTCCAATGTGTTTACATACTTTCTGTAATGGGGGACCCAGAACTGGATGTAATACTCCAGATTTGGCCTCACCAGTGCTGAATAAATTGGAATACTCACTTCCCTAGATCTGCTGGCAATGCTCCTGCTAATGCACCCCAATATGCTGTTACCCTTTTGGCTACAAGGGCACACTGTTGACTCATATCCAGCTTCTCCTCCACTGTAATCCCCAGGAACAATTAAGATTGGAGCATGTATTAAAACATGAAATGCATGGTAGACTACAGAGATCTAGCTGAGGAAAAGTACCTGATAACTAAGGATATGAACTCTGAACAGGTAACTGGTTGAATGGTTACTTTAACAAGTGATGCTTACCCGGTAATGGTTAACCGTTCCCTGGGAGCAGGCCCCTGCCGGCTGCCAGCCCACATGGGCTGGAAGCCGGCATCCCAGCACAGGGTTGGAAGCTCCTGGCCATGGCTCAGAGGACATTCCAGCCTGCCCCCTTTAATCATTTAACCGGTCAAATTTAACATTTAACCGGCTAACTAACTAAATGGGATTTTACATCCCAACTCATAGTGTAGTCATTTTCATAATACTTTGAACTGAAATTTGTTTGCAACCCTGTTAGATAGGTAGGTATTATGCTCATTTTACAGATAAGGAAGTTAAAACAGGTTTAGATGGCATGCAACAAATATGTGGGAGAGCTGGCAAATGTGAGTAGGAGCCTATTAGAACTTTGAGTTCCCAGTCCCACACTTAGTCCATTAGATTATGTTGTCTGTTCACTCTGGCTGTAATTATGCTAGTAATAAGCATACTTGAAAATGGAGCAGTCTATAGTATATTTATGGAAAGCATTGTTTCCAGTAAAAAATCCTTGTGCACTGTGTTTAGAGAAATCAATAATAACTGTTTCTAAGTAGCTTCAGGGGGTAGCTGAGTTAATCTGCACAGGATAAACTTATAAAGTGCTACAAGACCATTTATTGTTTAAGTTTGTTTCTAAGTAGTTGATAGCACTATTCTAGACCAAATTGTAAAGGGGTAATTTCAAAAAGCATGGATTTGTATGAGAAATGGGGGAGTTAACCACCTCTGTGGCAGAACTTAAAGAAATGTCTGACAGATGTATTTGTCTAGTCAAGCAGTGGTCTCCAACCTTTTTACACCCAAGATCACTTTTTAAATGACAGAACAAGCCAAGATCTACCGCCCCGCCCCTTCTTTGAAGCCCCGCCCCCTTCTCGAAGCCCCGCCCTCCCTATCTCCTCCTCTCCATCACTTGCTATCCCCAATCCTTTTTTTAAAAGATTTTTCCAACATTTGGAAGAGGTTTTTCAACATTTGGAAGTGGTGCTCAGTGAGGGTGCACCACGCTCCACGTGGGCTGGTGCAGAGAAGAAGCTTCCTGGCCAGCTGGCTGTGGCCTTCAGCCTGGAGGAGGCTGAACTGCGCTCCAGCTGATCGGGCAGCTTCCCCTCTGCGCCTGCCCATGTGGAGCTTGGTGCACCCTGGCTGAGCGCCATGGCCAGCTGGCCGGGAAGCCGCTTCTCTTCACTCCCGCCCGATCTGGTCTGGACAGTGTTGGGATACTAACACTAACAGCAAGCTTCCCGGGCTGAGTGCAGGGCATCCAGGCAGGAACGAAGAGAAGCAGCTTCCCGGCCAGCTGGCCATGGTGCTCAGCCAGGGTACACCAAGCTCCACGTGGGCAGGTGCAGAGGAGAAGCCGCCGATCAGATGGAGCGCGGGGCAGCCTCTTTCAGCTGAAAGCCACAGTCAGCTGGCTGGGGTGTTTCAGCCCTCCCGACCTTCCAGCTCCCACCATTCCTCGCAGCTACTCACCTGTGTTTTTGCTCGGTGAGTAGCTGCTCCTCAAATGAAGAAATCTAATGTAAATGTACTGCACAGGCGCGCAGTTCAGAGAGGACTCAAGAGCTACACTTAGAGCCCCTGAGATCTACTGGTAGATCGCGATCTACTGGTTGATGACCATGGGCTAGTGTGACCAGACACACATGATACTGCATGTTCTGATGTTTCACTGGAAAGTGCTGCTGGGTAAATAGAGAGGAAATAATAGTCTCAGTGTGCAAGTACTGCTGCTCTTGATTAGAAAAAATGAGCTGAAATGGAAGCTGCTACTAGAGATTGAGCACTTTTTGCAAGCTATGGCAATGAGCACTTCATTATGAAGCTTTCATGATATTTAGTCTATCTCACTTCTTCATTACAAGTAAATTGCAGTGGTTCCAAATCCAGTTTTCCCATCTTATTTGTGACTTTCCTTTCAACTCAACCAGAATGGCTCTTGAATTGTTGTAAACCTTAGTCTCTCAAATACACAAGATAATCCTATTCGGGAGCTGAAGCTCTATTGCAGATTAGAATGTACTGAGTTACATGGCAAAAGTATATTATTAAAACCAGGAAGTGTAATTTGTCCTACAATACCTTTCACAAAAGCTTTAAGTACTAGTACTGAGACCTACATCTGTAAGTATTCCTTGAGTATAGAATGTTTTAAAGAGACACTTTATTAAGTCAAACTTAATTTCTAAAACCTTTATAATTTACTTTTCTGATGCAGCCTTGAAATACTATTTAATTGAAATACAGTAGAATAAATCAGTGATGTTTGTTCCCATGTTGGTGTTTGAAAGCTTATTTTGAGTGTCTCCAAAAGCAATAATAAATATGCTTGGGTTTATCACTCTTCCACTCTCCATCTACCTCTTCAATTTGTGTTTGTTTTTCTGCTGCTTTTGTCGGTATATACCCTCCTGCTAAGGAAAAATATTGTCAATTGCCCCAAAGCAGCATATGACAGTGAATTCATCATTATCCTAGCGTAAGACACAGGAGATGTCACTGGCAGTGGAAAATTTAATTTAATTTGCACATATTCACTTATCCCATTAACAAAGTAATTGGGATTTTGCCACTGATATCTGAGGTTTAGGATTAGTTCCAAAGCAAAAAAAGTCAAATAGAGAGATTCTTTGTCCACACTCCCAATCTTCTGGCATGTTTTTTAAAACAAGTGTTTCTGATGCTACTTTCTAATCTAGAACAAGCCTTAGGGATAATTTATAACAGATTTAACATTTCCCGAAGAAAATTACTTTTGTTTCAAGTTGATGATGTCTTTCTAAATCAGGTCTTCTAAACCTTTTCTGAATCACCCCACTAGACAAAAAAAAAAAAAAAAAAAAAAAAGCTTAGAGCTCTTTCTTCCCAAAATAGCAAGAAGGGTACTGCCACTCAGCACCCAGTGTTGAGATGGCATTGTTTGCTCAGACTGGTGGCAGGTCAAGTACCACAGGATAGAACATCACTCTCTCATGCTTAGAGAACTGGTCAGACTGTCTTGACAGGCCATATTTGAGTGATTGGCTTTGGGGTAAATGGTGCATGGGTCTCTCTTCCCCCACACTTTTACACACACACACTTTTACTATTACTGCATAATGAGAAAGTTTGCTGTGCCCTGCCTAGAAACATGGATACACCTCACATACTAGTTGAGAGCCTCTGCTTTGAATTGTGGAACATCAATCATCTGCAGGGCAACTTTGACCTTTAAAAAAATATATTTCATTATATGTACTGGTGTATGTGTAGAATGAAGAATTTGAGAACCAAGCCATGGGTATTTGGGTTTGTTGGAAGGAAGTATGCAGGAGAGGATTTCCTTTTTTAAATTAAGTGCTTTTCAGGCAAAAATAAAACCAAAGACAATGCATGATTCTCTGATTTTAATAATTAGTACAATGGACTGGGAGCTTCTGACATACTGGGTTCTTTTGTGATTCTAAAGTGTATTTGCTATGTAATACTCAAGGTTGTTGAATTATTGAAGCTCAGTAAAAGTGAATTAATTTAGCATCTCCCAGAAAGTGTTGTACTACTGACCCTTAGCTACTACTTCTGTAACCCTAACTTAGAAACAAGAGGGAATAGGCTTTGAGTATCAAAAAAGAACTAAGAAAACAACATCATTTCAGAAAAGGTCTCACTTTTTTTCTACAGTGTCTTGCTGGCTGGCTTCTTATGACTGAACATCTTGAGTTGTCAGCCAAACAGAGTTGCAGAGAAGCAATTACAACTCCCCTTTTTTCCTACACACGTATTACTTTGGTTATTTCTGCAAGAGATATTTCTAATAAGCAAAGAAAAGAAATCTGAAAACAGATTATGTAACTGATCTGTGATGTACACATCACATTTGTCAGTAGAAATAAAACTCATGTTATCCTATGTTTTCAATGTATTGTAGAGTTCTGAACTTTATTTTCATTGTCAGGAATCGTGAAAATATAACATCCATATTTATAGAGAATTGCTCTGATTCTGAAGCTATGAGTTAAACAGCAAAATTGTCATGGCTTGTCAGGCAAGATTAGCATCTAATCTTTAACATAATAGCATTAACAAAGGATTACATCGTTTAGCCTTGAAAAAGTGTCTGGAAACCCAATGAAAGGCTTGTGAACCAACTCCAC